ATAGTGGAGGTTTGATGCCTTTCACCTGTGTGATGTAAGCACCAAAGAAAATAACCCCCTAATGATAAGTAATTTTTCTCTCACTGGACCAAACGTAGCATGTTATAAGTGATTTTTTTTTACTGTTGGGATAACCGAGTGCTGAGATACTCCCGGTTCGCTGGCTTCCATGGGAATGGGACTGGGTCTGTAGAGACCATTCCTCTGAGGAGCTCCACATCTGTGTGTGGGAGTGAGGGGATTCCTGTCTACTATGTTATGGAATGGTGATCCAGATCATCCCACCCCCGAAACCCGCCAGAAGGCAGACTAACATGGCCGCTACTCTGAAATCTGGGAAAGGGGGTTTCCACAAGGAAACTTCTCTTTTACTATGGGGCCAGGCTATATGAAGTAGGTAGGCTACGTGGCCTGCCACCAACCTGGTGGATCCCCAGGTCTTCATTAACATGAAAACCTTGTGCTTCTGGCTGCTCCCTGGCTCACTGGAAGTGTGGCTTCAATTGAGTCACATTAACAGGCACCATCTCTGGCTGGGGCAGCCACTGGGATCACCAGGGAAGGGCTGTCCATCAAGCTGTACTCTTTTCTGCATGTCTCTGTCCCTTAGCCCTGCCCTTGGAAGGCCAATTCCCCTCTTCCCTACCCATCTAGTCTCGTCCCCCTGCATAGGCAGGGGAAAGGGGAAAGGAGAGGTTAGCCTGTGGTGCAATACTGGCTGACTCCTATTTTGCTTCTGCAGCAGGGGGTGGAAGATCTGTGCCCTCAGAGCATAGGTCTAAGCCAGTATATTTACAATACCTTAAGAAAGGAGTGTCAGATTAATAGCCCTTCCTATGGACTCCTTCTGTTGGGTCCTGTTACCACTTTCAAAGTACAATGTCAGAGTACCTAAAACAAATATTACTGATCACAGCTAAAGTTTACCCAGTAATAAAAAATTAGATGTTATATACTTTGGAGGACATCAAATAGTGATTTGCTGCTTTTTTTTTTTTTTTTTTTTTACAATTTACTCAATCTTAAAAAAAATCTTAGGTCTGATCAGAATAATTAAATATTGAATATCATAGCTTAAAAATATAATTCTGTATTTACATGTGGGCAGGATTTCTGGTTAGTTCATCTAAAGGTTTCTGTCAAATGTTAAATACAATGATATTAACGAAATGTGGGCACACTCCATTCAAATATGAAACACAGATTGACTAAGTATTTGCAGAAGCATCAAGATATGGGCCAGTATTGCTTATATCTACTGCCTCATTATTCAGAACTACCCACTCCCCCCAGTTCATGCTCAAAATTATCATTAATGTCAACAGTAGTTGTGCGTGCAAACATAGGACATTCTGGAGCCCTGTTAGTGATGGTGAAATGTCCTTACTTAACAAAGTAATAAAATAAATGTATCTAGTACAATGGGATCCTGGTCCATGGTTGGCGCTCCTGGTTGCTACCACAATACAAAATATAGAATAAGAATAAGCTTTACACTTTGTGTGCACTTTCATACTAGTGGAGCAGAATGAGGAATATTGTACTGGTCATGCAATATGTAAAGCCAAATAGATCCTGCAGCTATATGCACAAGTAAATTGCTTTGAAGTCAATGAGAGTCTGGAGTATGAAATGACTGCAAGGGTAGATGTGGGAAAAGAAAAGACTTTGGTTTGCTTTGCTATCAAGCTGGCATGTTTAAGGGCCACTAAATTAATTTTAAACCCAAAAAACAATGCATTTGTATTCTTTAATTATTACAATCTGCTCTTTCTTTTCATTTTCTCAGACTCCTCTCCTTACTAGCAGCAATCACAACTGATTTTGTCTAGTTAACTGATAATATTGTTTACAATTCTAGGGCCTTTTTCCTAATAGTTCCTTAGCCTTACAGTTATCAGAGAGCAGGATCTTACTATGAGATGGAAGAATAGCACCCTCAAGAGTTGACAGCAGTGCTGTTCCAGGGATGAAGTGAGCTGTAGCTCACGAAAGCTTATGCTCAAATAAATTTGTTAGTCTCTAAGGTGCCAAAGGTACTCCTTTTCTTTTGGTGATGCAATAGGCATCCTTCCTCTTTTGGGCTGAATTCATTAACTCCTTAACACATTTAGCTGAGACCAATAGGTCTGGGGACTGAAATCCGCTCTTCCAAATGCGCTGCTATCCGTCCACAAGTTTGGAAGTGAAAATATGTATTTATATCATCTAGAGAGGTTATCAGTTGCTAGGTTTTCTAGTTTATTAGTTTTCAATTTCTTAGAAAAGTGAGGGACAAAAAAGCAGAACACAATAAGAACAATCTCATTTGTGTAAGGCTGGTAACCGAGTTTGCCTTATATTAAAGTCCATTTAAAATGTAACTAGATCTAAGGAGAAACATGCTAGGCAAACCAGTCAACATGCCTAATTGTAGGGACTTGTTTGGTTGCTTGTTTGGGTGATAATGATGATAGTTAAGAATAGAATAGAATATGATCCCAAACTTTCAGCCTTTACTTTGAATTTCTTTTAAGTTGTGGGTTCAGATCAAAACTTCAGAATTGTTATAAAATATTAATATGTTTTAAGGGCACTAGTAAATCCAATTGTTGTTGGATTGCAAACATTTTGGTTACACGTATATGATGCACAGTACAACAATGACCATTCATTTTAAATAGTTAGAGCCTATTGCTGTTGACTTCAATGAAGGATAAGGCCCTTAAAAACCTTGAGGTATAAATTAATCATCAACTGGTAGTCAGAGAGAGATTTCCTCCCAAGGGGCAAAATCCTGGACTCAGACAAATAGTCTCTTTGTTGTGAATGGGGTTACTTGTATAAAGCAAGCAGGAATTGGACACACATTATAGTAATGAATAATTAGGTGCAGTATGGAGGTTTTATAATTTCATCTGAGGTATCCAGACCTGCTTTCTGTGAGAGACTAGAGGACTCATTCTGCATTTGCCTTTCAGAATTCCCATTAAAAGCCCGTAGACTTTTGGTTGTGCAAGAACTGCTAGATAGCATTCCACATGGATCACTGGCTCATTCCACTCATGGCAACATTTATATCAATCCTGGTAATCTTTAGGAAGAATTATTTGTGTATCCAGAAAAATCCAAGACGAACTTTACATTATTTTTTTAAATTTTATATTGAAAATGGAGATGTACATTTCTAAATCTGCACATGAGCCTCTTCCCCTGCTGTAATTACTGAATCCATTCTCCAGTCAGAGACTCTAGTACAACTGAGCCCTTAGAACACAGTGTTCTTACTCTTTCTAATCATACAAGATAGAATATTTATTTAGATTCACAATATATAACATATTCCATATAAGAACAGTGTGAATCTCACATTCCAACTTTATTTTCCCTTCAAAACATTCACTGTCAGATAGTATTAGTGGCATAAAATTCAGCTCCTTTTTGAGCCAGCAACTACCCACTATTTTAGGGCTTTATCCTACATCCCCTCTTACTCATGAGAGGAATCCCAGTGAAGTTAACAGAATTACTAAGGGAGCAAGGCCTATTATAGTGAATAAGAGTTTGCAAAACCAGATTCTTACTGAAGACTTAAAAAAAAAAAGTCACATTTTTTTCTCCTAGATAGTTTGGCAAGGAGTTTCTGGTTTCTTAGTTGGGACCAGGGAATTAAGCAGGGGGAATACAAACTAGTCCTTATAGTACAAGTACTTTACACATATTTATGGAACAGGAAAACAAACTTTTTCAACCCCCTTCCATTTTCACATCTGTCTCTGCAGCATCCCTTAGCCCTTTTAGACTTAGACCTGCTCCCATCGACTCCAATGGCCCTTAGGTTTGTTTCATCAAGGCACATTTCAAAGGTGTCAGCTGGAAGTGTGAGATCTATACAGGATAGATAGCAGAACCACACAGCCCCAGGGGAACCCTATGTATACACATGCTGTCTTGCACCAGAAGGAAATAATCTACATCTTCGCTTCTCCCAAGCGGAGGTCTGACTCTCCTATTATGGCTTTGCCAGGGAGAAGCTATTGTAAGGACATACTGTTCCGGGCACGAAGAGAAGTCACGCTGGCTGGGAAATGCCTGTCCTCTCTCAAAGCCCCCGGTCGGGACAGTCTCAAGGAAATACAGCCAAGGGACAAGCACACAGCCGGGCCCAGCCACGCTCCACGGTCACTGGCCGCCCCAGAGCACCCTAGGGCGCGAGGTTTACCGGAGGCGAAGGCTGACAGCTGGGTCACGCGCGGTGCGGAGCTAGACTGGTGTGTTTGCATTTCGGAACTCGGTCAGTCCAGTTATCCCTGGGGTCCAGATTGTTACAACTAGGGCCCGTGCATTTATCGCCGACTTTCTATTGCGAAAGTAATCCGGGCCGTGCCATGCCCCCGCCCCCCGGCACGGGGCAGCGATCGCTCGCAGGGTTGGCAAAGTTAAGGAGCAGAGACATTCCCATTTCGTTTAGCCAGAGGCTGATGCAGCCGGTTGTTACAGGAGCAAGACGGGAATGTGTTGGAGAGACCACCCATACTATCATTGCTGGGGCGACCCTGGGTGTAAGTGCCGGGAAGCGATCCGAACAGTTACAAAAAGAAACTAGAGGCAGAGGCGCAGGGAGTACTGCATAAACTGCCGCTGGCGTTGGAGCGGGGCCTGTCTGGTCGGTCTGTAGCATTTCTGCTTTTCCACCCAAATTCTCCCGGCCTGTTCTAAATGTGACAGCGAATCAATGTCCCCGTGCACTGAAGCCGAGCGAATGGCTGATGTCTGGCTTTGGCGATGTTATCAGGCGTGAGACGCAGCTATGTCACGCACAGAACTTTGTACGTTGTAAAGATAACATTGACCACAGAGGCCTCATTGCAACCCACCGAAACTCATTGCAACCCACCTTAAAACTCAGCCGCTTTAATCCCTCAAAAAAACCTTTGCCTACAGGCATCCCGAGGGGTCTCCTTACCCCGAGATCTACCAGGGGAGCTTTTTATGTGCACTGTATTAAAATAAATCCGCTCCGAGCGGACTCCCCTTTGCCAGCTGCAGTCTGCAGAGAGAAGTGGAATTTCACCCCCACCCCTGAGGGCTCCGCCTCTCTCCAGCCCGATAAGAGGCGACTGCCTGGGCTTTACGGCTGGGTCCTAGTGCCCACGCGGCTGCCTTTGGGTTTAACGTCAGGCGGTCTCACTTGTCTGACTCCCACTCGGCTCTGTGAGAAGTGCCTGTGTGCGGATTAGGTATTGACAGGGCCGGGTTTGAAGCCGGAATCCGCAGCTGAACGAATACTAAGGCGGGTTTCTCACCTGGAAACCATACTGCCGAGAACTTCTTCAAACCCGGCTGCTCGCTCCTGGCACTGCCAGCGCCGGACCGGAACAACGTGGTGTTTAAACCAGCCTTTGATACTTTCGGCAAACACGATCCCGCTAATATTCCCAGCTCGTGTTTGTAAAACGGGAGGATCGTAGAAGTGGAGGCTTTCCTCTGTAGCGCCCCTGGACTTAACAGGTCAAATTTGTTAGCAAGGACCCACGATTTAAGTGGATGATGGAAATGTGCTGATTTATTTTAGCCAAATTTCTCCTTTCACTCCTGTGCTGAGGCACGTGGAAGGCAGGACTTAAAGCACCTTGGGCTGCCACACACGTTTCACAGGGCTTCTTATCAGTGTCCCCAGGTGCGTAACTTTTCCAGCAGGTTTAAACCCAGCGTTCTTCTATCTTTGAAGCTATGGGGTGGGGGCGGGGGGACATTACAATGGTACATTCTGCAAATTGCAAACTCCAAGTTCTCTAGCCTCGCAGTTCCAGGGGAGACAACAACGCCTTGCCCCTGGAAAGGGTATTTAAAGGAGGGATTTTTTACGAGTCGTTCCCCAGGGAGGTGCAGATACGCGCTAGCTGCTGGACCCTGAGCTTTGCTTATCTTCTTGCTAGGGGTGGTTTGTAATATAACTGAGGCAGTCTGGGACGTGTCACACAGGCACTAAGACCCAGCAGCCTTGGCAGCTGCCTTGTGGTCAAAGGTTCCCAGCAGGAGGTTGGACACTAGAGGGCGATCCCCAGCCCTTGTGGGAGTGTATATATACAGCAGGCATAAGACCAAGTCAAGGCATTAGTAATTGAAAGTTAAGAGCAAGGAAGAGCAATTCGGACACGCTGGTGGGAGGGGATCGCCGAGAGCAGGGTAAGCAGTGGCACAAGTTGGTTAAAGTGAGAGGGGAAGTCGGGGCGGCTGACGCTCAAGATCCGCCGGCAGAGGCGCAGGGGGGTGTTCGGTCCCCGGGCTCGGAGAGCTTCACTCAGCCGCCTGGGTCCCCTTCGCCAGCGCGAATCCTGGATTCCAGGAGCCCTTCACCATGCCTGGCAGAGTTTAGATACTCCATGGAGCAAGCCAACTTCTACGAGGTCGATTCCCGGCCGCCGATGAGCAGCAGCCACCTCCAGACTCCGCAGCCCGGCAGCGCCTACAGCTACAGAGAGGCTCCCTCGGCGGCTGCACCTGCTGCGGGAGGCGCGGAGCTGAGCGACATCTGCGAGAACGAGAACTCCATCGACATCAGCGCCTACATCGACCCGGCCGCCTTCAACGACGAGTTCCTGGCCGACCTCTTCCAGCACAGCAAGCAGCAGGAGAAAGCCAAGGCCATCCTGGCCGGGGATTTCGACTTCCACAGCATGCACGGGGCCAGCGCCGCCGCCTTGGGGCAGGGGCACCCGCCGCCGCCGCCGCCGCACCACCCCCAGCAGCTCTTCGGCTGCATGGCCGGCTACACGGACAGCAAGCTGGACCCCCTGTACGAGCGCATCGCCGCCCCCGGCTTGCGGCCCCTGGTGATTAAACAGGAGCCCAGGGAGGAGGCGGAGGGCAAGCAGGCGGCTCTGGCTGCCCTCTACCCCCAGCAGCAGCAGCCCCCGTCCCATCTCCAGTACCAGATCGCACACTGCGCGCAGACCACCATGCACCTCCAGCCGGGGCACCCCACTCCGCCTCCCACCCCCGTGCCCAGCCCGCACCACCCGCACCACCCGAGCAGCCTGCCCGCCGCCGGCGCCCTCAAGATGATGTCCGCGGATCATCGGGGCAAGACGAAAAAGTCCGTGGACAAGAGCAGCAGCGAGTACCGGGTGCGCCGGGAGCGCAACAACATCGCGGTGCGCAAGAGCCGGGACAAGGCCAAGCAGCGCAACGCGGAGACGCAGCAGAAGGTGATGGAGCTCACCAGTGACAATGACCGGCTGCGCAAGCGGGTGGAGCAGCTCACCAGGGAGCTGGAGACACTCAGGGGCATCTTCAGACAGCTGCCTGAGAGCTCCTTGGTCAAGGCCATGGGCAACTGCGCGTGAGGCACCCCGGCCCCACCTCCCGCCCCGCTCCAAACAAACTCGGGCTTTTGCAAACTCTTGGTGCCATATTCAGATCCCCGCCGGGGTCGAGAGCTGCGGTTCAGCTTGTCTCACGGGGTGGGTTTGGTTTTTAATTATTGACAGATAAAAGAATCCAGGCAGCTGTAGTATTAAACGGTCCGTGCCTTAGGAACGACACGAATAAGCTGAAAAGAGTGTGCTTTGAAAAGAAAAAGAAAACGCCCACGTGTCTACGGGGTAAAGACAACCCACGCTGTGCCTTAAAAGTTGGTTGCAAAAGCTCTGTGGGCTTTCTGTTCACATCAGCCTGACAGCTGAGCAAACGGGTAGGGGTCCTGTGCTCTGGGTGGGGTTGGGGCATAATTGGTACTGGCTGGGGAAACGTGTATGTCTTCCTCCCTGGGGGGGCTGAGTGGTGGGGGTCGCAGGAAGCTCTGACAGAAAGAAAAGTGGGTGAGACATGACAAGCAACATGGGGAGAATGTATCTGCCTGTTGTTTAGCTCGTTGATCAGTAGGTGAGTGAAAGCTGAGTGCAATCCAGACTCTCTGTCCCTGTCAGTAAAAAGAACAGGAGGACTTGTGGCGTCTTAGAGATTAGCACATTTATTAGAGCATAAGCTTTCGTGGGCTACAGGCCACTTCATGGGATGCATAGAATGGAACCTAGAGTAAGATATAGAGATGCATACAGAGAAGGTGGAAGTTGCCATACGAACTGTAAGAGGCGAATTAAGATGAGCTGTTTTCAGCGGGAGAAAAAAACTTTCGTAGTGATAATCAAGATGACCCATTTAGACGGTTGACAAGAAGGTGTTAGTCTCTCAGGTGCCACAAGTCCTCCTGTTCTTTTTGCGGATACAGACTAACAGGGCTGCTACTCTGAAACCTGTCCCTGTCAGTGCTGCCGCCTTTCGGGTGAATCTCTCCCATTCTTTTGTATGTGGGGGAAGGTTTGGTGGACGCTGGGGCCGTGCAAGCAGATTGTCGTGTCCCGTCCCGTCCCCCCTTGTTAGAGGAGACCTGGTGGACAGGAATCCAGGACTGAAAGGGAAAAGCACCTAGCGAAGGAGTCTTGAATATTCTCCTTTAACCAAAACGAAGAGCAGCAATGCTGTACTGTATGTCGTGACACGGCGAAGCACAAATCAATAAATACCTATCGATGCGGGTATTTACTACGAACTTTCCATGTATTTTGCTTTGTTCGAGGATATTAAGCCCCTCTCCAAGTCTGTCTCTTCTGTCCCAGCTGTGCCTCATGTAAGGTGATACCCTTCTGTGTATACTATTCACACTTTATTTTATTGTATTGCTTAGATCCTTGCCATCACCACTGTCTTCTCTGGTGGCAGAGAGATCATGCCCTTGTGCTGCAGCATTTTTGGTTATGGCTTCTTTAGGGGGCAGGATGCCTCCTAATAACCCAAAGTCTCCCCCTCTGGGGTGTCTGGGATTTGATTACCTTGGGAGTGGGGGCTAGGACACATCCAGTGTCTCTGGGATTTCATTCCCTTTGGGGTCGGGGGAAAGACGGTGCTGCTAGTTAACTGCAGCCCCCTGGACTCTGGATCCTCCCAAGGGAGAGGGACACAACAAACACCCCCCCTGCTAGCGAGCACTTTTAACCAGCCAGTGCTTTTCCTTATAACATGAGAGAGAGAGAGAAAAAACAAGGAGTCCATTTCAAATATAGGTAATTGGAGAAACGTGCAAGGTGAAGGAGAGTCAATGTTGTTTGCAAGCGTGATCTCTGGAAAGCTATGTTGCCTGCGTGTGTGTGTGTTTGTGTGTGTGTTTGTGTGTGTGTGTGTAGATATCTATATCGATATCTCTCTAGCTAATCATCTATCTATACACACACACACAATGGTGAATGATGAACCGGAAAAAAACTGCATATAAAGTTTGTCGAAATACTGGTTACATTAATAAATAAACAATATATATTCTACCATAATCATCTCCTTGTGTCTTTTCCGCTTTTTCTCTTGGGCTGTACATGAAGCAAAATGTTTCCCTTTCGCTGAAACATGAATCTTTCTCTTCCTCCCCATCCACATGCACCCTGCTATGAATGGGAATTTGAATGTACACCTTGAGCTTAAAAGAGTCATTTAGCCCCAGATCTTTTTGATCTTTCAGAGCCTGGCAGTATTATGACTGTTTATGATTTTAAAATGTGCATTAGTTAATCACTCCCAAATCTGACCGGTTTAATCGTGTGCAGTGAGTGACACAGGGTTTTCTGAGGCTGTCCAAACTGGAATGGCCACGGGGGTCACCCCTTCCCAAATGCTTAACAAATTACTGTGCTGAAGAAGAACAAAATGATGAGAGGAAAGTCAATTGTCATTGCTGTAAGAGCAATGCTACCCTTGATTATCTCTTCCCGAGCAAAGGACGATGACCAGTCCCTTGGGATGCATTGACAGTGAACTGACTGGCTCTTGGGGGTTGGTAACACTGGAGGATCTAGGGGCAGTTATCTTGTTTAGTTCAGAACAACCATGTTGACAGCGACCTGTTCTGTGCTGCTTTCCCGGCCTAGAGAAAGCTGGTATGTTTGGAGCATGGGAGGGAGAATCCTAGAACTTCTGGGATTGAAAAGCCATTTTAAAAGCACTTCTATCCTGGTTGTGCCCCTCCCCCCCCACTCCCCCCTACTTCTCTTCACTGGAGAGATTGGGGTTGCTAGGGGGACAGGCCTGGGCTCTGGTCATAGTTAGTTGCATCTCTGAGGCTCAAAGGTTATAATGTTGCATTTAAGCAATGCAAAAAGATACAGGATTGAGTGCTCTTCCAAAATACACAGAGCGGGTAATTCCTAGTGCCTGTGCCCTTTGACCTCTGTAGGTTAGCTAAAAATAATCTGGAAACCTGTGGGTGAGATACTGACAGTCTGGAGAAGCTGCAGAATGAGGACAGCGCTGGCCTGTGATTACAAAGCAGAGGCAATCCTTGAGCCCACAGGGGTGGTGGGAACTGATCAGGTGATCTAGTGTTAACTCGCTATATAATTAATAGTGGCCATTTGGAGATGAATAGTCCGGGGAAAGGGAGAGGGATGGTGCAAATGGATCTGAACATTCCTTACGGGCCTCTCCATTCATGTGCACATTGAGGGCCCGATCTTGTTGCCAAAGGGAGTTCTGCCTGAGCAGGGTGTGTGTGTGTGTGTGTGTGTGTGTGTGTGTAACCCACAGGACACGCTGCTCGTCAGTGCTCTAGGGGCCGAGCGCCCCAGCCCCAGTTATGGCATCAAGCGGGGTCACCGCAGCGCTGCCCGGCAGCGAGATGTGAGTCGACATTTGCACCCCTTGCGAGTGGATTAGGAAAAGGCCGTCACAGGCGCTCACAGACTTCCTGCCGTCTGAAAGCTGAACTCCAGAGCTCCCTGCGTCTAGCTCTTCTCGGGTCACTCCGGGAAGGATTTGGGGCTCCTGGCTTTGCGTCCCCTCTCCCATTTTTATTATGAAACCCACAGGAAGGTGTATACACACACTCACACACACACACATTTTATACCATGCACTGCTCGGCCTCGAAGTCGTTGGTTTTAGCCCAGCCTGGGTCTCCCGGCCCCGTTGGCTGCAGGAAGTTTGTGTTCCCGTCCCAGGCATTGCTCGGGTTTGAGTTCATGGCTCCCGGCAGCTGTGTCTGGGTTTTCACAAGGGGGATTAGCGGGAGCCCATCGGGCACAGTTAGCAGCACAGCCGCTGGGTGGATGAGCCCCGCGCCTGGTGTGAACGCGTGATGCGCCCCTGTGCCTTGGCTGCCCCGAGTCTCGCACTGGTGGGACTTGCTAGTTTGGACTAAACCCCATTTCACTGGCGGACAGTTCAGCCCTGTGGGTGTCTTCCGAGGGCCAGGGGCGGTTGGGAGCTGAGCACGGTTTTGGGGGGCGCAGTGGGACCAGCCAGACGTAGGGGTTCCCGCCCCAGCCCCCAGCCCGCTCGGCGCAGCCCCCCCCCCGGGCGGCCCACGCGAGCTCACGACGTTGGGGAGGTGCTGATGCAGCAGGGCCGCCTGCCACCAGCGGAGCTGGAGCTCGCCTGGAGCAAACCGCCCGGTCCACGGGCTGCTGGATGCTCCGGCGGGTCCCAGCTTGCTGCACTTTACTAAAAACAAACCGCCCCCCAGCAGTCAGTCAACCCCCGAGGCACGCGCGGCGCAGCGCCGGGTCCAGCTTTTCTCCCGCTTCGCAGGCGTCCGAGTCCCGCTGCCCCGGCCTCCCTCGCCCGCCGGGCGTGTGGCGCAGGATCGGGCCCGGACCCGGGACCGGGGTGGTGGCCAGAGGCGTTTCGGTGACAGGGGCGCATCGGCCCCGCCCAGGGCAACATCCCCAGTGCGGGGAGCCGCGCTGCAGCTGCGGCAGCACGAGGGAAGTTTCCCTTGGCGCTCGCTGCTGCGGGAGAGAAGAGGGAGCCCTCAGCCCCACTGTGCCTCGGACAGGTGCAGGGGCTGGGGCGTGGTCCTCCCGTCCTCCCCAAGGCGGCTCGCCGAGTCGTCCCGGGGGGCAGAGCAGGGAGCCGCCCCGCAGGACGGCGGGTGTGTGCTGGGTGTCCGCTCGCGTGCAGCACAGCTGCCCATGCACCAATTCCGCGCCGCGTTTCCCCTGCCCCTGCATTTGCACCGTTGCTGTCGTTTGAAAAGCAGCCGAGGTGAGGGCGATCTCCCCTCCCGCCTCAGCCGCTTGCACAAGCCTCCGCCGTGCAAAGAGCCCGGCGTTTGCCCTGCTGCGGGCACGGGGAGAAGGCGGCAGCAGCTGCACGTGGTGCCCCCTTCTCTGCTCTCGCGCACCCCCCGGCAGCCAGGTCCGCGGAGCTGGGAGCGGGACACCACAGAAATGCGCGGTTGGTGTTTGTTGGTCGCATCGGAAGAGGAGTAGGCGAGTCAGGCATGATGGCAAAGCAGACAAGTGAGGAGGTTTGAATCAAAGAAGGGGACCAAAGAAATGGACGCGTGTTTGGAGCTCTCCTGCCGTTGGGAGGCATGTAGCCTCGTGCAAAAATCAAACTGGGCATGCAGAAAGTAACCCGCTCCCAGAAAATTACAAAACAAAACAAAAACTACCCGCCTTACTCAGAAAATAAGGTAAAAAAAAACAGAGTAAAATACCCCCAAAGCTAAGCGAACCCGCAACGCTAATGCTGGGCAAGGCTATAAATTGAAATACCTAAAATTCAAGAAACTTTCGTGAACTCAAAAGTCTGGAAATAAGGAGAGTTTCATCTTGTCCTGTATGGGGTTTTCTTTCCGGTGGTTTTCATTATGACTATGTGCCTCTAGTTGAGGTAGATGCTTGTTCATCATCATAATATCCCTGCAGTAATGCAGAGCATTTAGATGACCAGATGGGACACTTAAAATGGCATTAGATCTCAAAACAATCCATGTCTGGTGGAGTATTTAAAGGATGGTTCTAAATAGTTTGGCTGCCATTGTGTTTTCACTTGTGAAGAATGGGCAGGAAAGGTCTGTAGATTATTGTATCTGTTCTCATTTGAGAGCTACAGTCAGGGGTACAAAATAGAAGGGAATTTGGCTTCACAGAGCAGCTTTCAGACCCAAGCTATTCCAAAGTGCTTCAGGAAAGGAGGCGCTGTACTCTGCACTGAGGGTTCCAGACCCATGTAGGCTAACATGGCAGTCATTCCTCAGTCAGCAGTAATTTACACCCAGCTTTTGTCATCCAAATCCATTGCAGAGGATATCTCTTAATATCTCATCTGAAGAAACATGCCAGTGCTGGGGCAACATGTCCCACCCTCCATCTGCCGAGACCCCCAGGCTAGTCCTGTACTGCCTCTGGTTACACTTCTAGAGCACTAGGCCAGGAGAGCTAGCACTTGCCCCTACCCCAGCTGGGAAGCATGCCTCCCATTGCAGTGTTGACTTACCCCTTAGGAAACAGCCCAGGCTTGATTTTTAAAATTCCCTGTCCTGGAGAATCCCCCACAACCCTTGATAAATTGTTCCAATGGTTAATTATCCTCATTGTTACAAATAATTAATTAGCTCTTGAACTTGTGAGGTGCTGAATGCCCTCAACTCTTGTTGGAAATGTTCTGCAGGCTTCGGCCCTTAATATAATAATCAGTTACAAATGTATGTTCTTTGATCTGGCTGAAATTTAAAAACCACATACTAGTGATAGTGTCATTGAGCCTCACTTACATTTTTAAGGCAGTCGGTCTGAGTACACAGTAACTTGGGATGAATGTGGATCAGAACTAAAGAAGCATGTTCTTAAGGAAAATGTAAACCTGCGGATGGGGACAATTATTTTTTCCCAACTGGAATAAATTGAGGGCTCAAGTCCTAATGATGTCAGGCAAAATTCATCACTTTTACTCTAATTCCCTCTCCCAATTTCAGAAACGCTCATCCTATAGGATATGTTATTCATTACTTAGCAACACTGTCAACCATGCAAAGTAAAGAAATTCTGCCATCATTTTAGTGCAGATTGTTGCAGGGTATATGTGTGAGGGACAGTAAACTAGTGGTTAGAGCAGGGCAATGCAAATCTGAGCACTCGGGTTCAGTTCTAAACTGTGACTCACTGTATGGCTTGAGCAAAACAATTAGAGCCTGATTCAAAGCTTGGTTTCAGAGTAACAGCCGTGTTAGTCTGTATTTGCAAAAAGAAAAGGAGTACTTGTGGCACCTTAGAGACTAACCAATTTATTTGAGCATAAGCTTTCGTGAGCTACAGCTCACTTCATCGGATGCATACTGTGGAAACTGCAGAAGACATTATATACACAGAGACCATGAAACAATACCTCCTCCCACCCCACTCTCCTGCTGGTAATAGCTTATCTAAAGTGATCACTCTCCTTACAATGTGTATGATAATCAAGTTGGGCCATTTCCAGCACAAATCCAGGTTTTCTCACCCCCCCCCCTTCTTTTCCAAAAACCACACACACAAACCCACTCTCCTGCTGGTAATAGCTTATCCAAAGTGACCACTCTCCTTACAATGTGTATGAAAATCAAGGTGGGCCAATTCCAGGACAAATCCAGGTTTTCTCACACCCCCCCCCGCCCCCACAAAACACACACACACACACAAACTCACTCTCCTGCTGGTAATAGCTTATCCAAAGTGACCACTCTCCCTACAATGTGCATGATAATCAAGGTGGGCCATTTCCAGCACAAATCCAGGTTTTCTCACACACACCCCCCAACACACACACAAACTCACTCTCCTGCTGGTAATAGCTCATCCAAACTGACCACTCTCCTTACAATGTGTATGATAATCAAGGTGGGCCATTTCCAGCATAAATCCAAGTTTAACCAGAACGTCTGGGGGGGGGGGGGGGGGTGTAGGAAAAAACAAGGGGAAATAGGCCCTTGCATAATGACTTAGCCACTCCCAGTCTCTATTTAAGCCTAAATTAAACAGATTGATAATATAATATCAATATTAAAATATAAAATATATAAAAATAAATATAAAATATAAAAAAAATAGATTAAACAGATGGATAGAGCCAGAAGAGTTCCCAGAACTCACCTACTGCAGGACAGGCCTAACAAAGAAAATAACAGAACGCCACTAGCCGTCACCTTCAGCCCCCAGCTAAAACCCCTCCAACACATTATTAAGGATCTACAGCCTATCCTGAAGGATGACCCAACACTCTCACAAATCTTGGGAAACAGGCCAGTCCTTGCCTACAGACAGCCCCCCAACCTGAAGCAAATACTCACGAACAACCACATACCACACAACAGAACCACTAACCCAGGAACCTATCCTTGCAACAAAGCCTGTTGCCAACTGTGCCCACATATCTATTCAGGGGACACCATCACAGGGCCTAATAACATCAGCCACACTATCAGAGGCTCGTTCACCTGCACATCCACCAATGTAATATATGCCATCATGTGCCAGCAATGCCCCTCTGCCATGTACATTGGTCAAACTGGACAGTCTCTACGTAAAAAAATAAATGGACACAAATCAGACGTCAAGAATTATAACATTCAAAAACCAGTCGGAGAACACTTCAATCTCTCTGGTCACGCAATTACAGACATGAAGGTCGCTATCTTACAACAAAAAAACTTCAAATCCAGACTCCAGCGAGAAACTGCTGAATTGGAATTCATTTGCAAATTGGATACTATTAATTTAGGCTTAAATAGAGACTGGGAGTGGCTAAGTCATTATGCAAGGTAGCCTATTTCCTCTTGTTTTTTCCTACTCCCCCCCCCCCCCCCCCCGCCGTTCTGGTTAAACTTGATTTATGTGGAAATGGCCACCTGATTATCAACACATTGTAAGGAGAGTGGTCAGTTTGGATGAGCTAACCAGAGGAGAGTGACGTTCTGTGTGTGTTGGGTGCGGGGGGTGGGAAAACCTGGATTTTTGCTGGAAATGGCCTACCTTGATTATCATACACATTGTAGGGAGAGTGGTCACTTTGGATAAGCTATTACCAGCAGGAGAGTGAGTTTGTGTGTGTGGTTTTTGGAAAAAGGGGGCGGGGGGTGAGAAAACCTGGATTTGTGCTGGAAATGGCCCACCTTGATTATCATACACATTGTAAAGAGAGTGGTCACTTTGGATGGGCTCTTACCAGCAGGAGAGTGAGTTGGGGGGGGGGGGGGCGGAGGGTGAGAAAACCTGGATTTGTGCTTGAAATGGCCAACTTGATTATCATACACATTGTAAGGAGAGTGATCACTTTAGATAAGCTATTACCAGCAGGAGAGTGGGGTGGGAGGAGGTATTGTTTCATGGTCTCTGTGTATATAATGTCTTCTGCAGTTTCCACAGTATGCATCCGATGAAGTGAGCTGTAGCTCACGAAAGCTTATGCTCAAATAAATTGGTTAGTCTCTAAGGTGCCACAAGTCCTCCTTTTCTTTATTCAAAGCTTGGTTTTTCCATTGATTCCAGTGGCTGAATATCAAGCCCCTGTAGCCTAATCTCCCTCTTATCAAGCCCCTGTAGCCTAATCTCCCTCTTATCTGACCACTCTCCTTACATTGACATCACTGCGGACAAGAATGGGTCCTTAAATGTTCCACAACTCAAATCACCAATCCACAAAATGGGTATAATAGTACTTACACACACCCTACCCAGGAGTCTTGTAAGGCTTAACTGATTAATAACTGGAAAGCGTTCAGAGAGACGTGCCTGAAACACAGAAGAAGTTACAGCAGTAGCAGTTCCAAAGTCAGCTGAGTTCGAACCTCCTCTGTCAGGCTCTTAACCCCTCTAGTAGAGAGAATTGTTTAACCGCATACATGGCTCAGAAGGGAAAAGAGACACACATATCAGCTCTATCATAATGACTACCCAAGACGGGTGGTCGCTGTGTTCTTATGCCTCATGCGCTGGAGCTTGGTAAGCGTCTTAAATTATTTCTTTGATGGAAGGATAAGAAAAGCATGGCTAAAGGGGAGGACACATAGAACTTCATTATTCCAGGTTTGATGCCTTTAAAATAAATGTCCTATTCCTATTTTAAAGGTGACCTGGAAAGTAATAAAAGAATCTTTGTCAGAGTTATTTCCTGTAATGGAGGAATGCCTTGGGTGACTTGAGCTTTTTCACTGTAGGACTATACAAGATTCATGAACACTTAGTAGTGGGTGAGAAATAGATACGTTGAAAGATTCCTTCCTTCTACCTCCAAATAATTAGCACAAGGTGGAATCCAGCCCATGCCTTCTCAAGAGAAGCAAAACACCCAGAAGTCACTGTGATGTTGTGTATAAGAAAGGTGATCATTTATATCACCGTTGTTAGTACTGTTACACAAGGGATAATAGGCTAGAATGCAGGACTATGCAGGACAGGATGCTGTCTGACTGAGAGTGAAACTTTCTGAGTCTACACTGCAATTACAGAGCCCCTTAGCGCAAGCCCTGTGAGCCTGAGCCCGCTGGCCCAGCCATGGGTTTTTAGCTGCAGTGTAGACACACCCTCTTGTCATAGCTAAATACAAGATAGAACAGATGGTTTCGCATAAGTAGTTGTTATATTTCTAGGGACCATTCAAGGTAAAGTGTAACAAAATCATTCAGCAGAGAGCGTGGGGGGGAAAGAATGTGCAGGTTTCTCATGGATTTTCTTCTCTCCAACAGATGAATTAATGTCAAGGAGCTGGCCCTGTCCATCCACTTTAGCCGGTTTGTTTGTTCCCATGCAGCGCACCTTGAGTTCCACAATGCAAAGAAGGCATGTGATCTTTGACAGGCTGTTTGGAGTCAGAAGAAACATATGCATATTAGGCATCTGATCCAGCACCTCTTTAAATCAATGGCAAAACTCCCATTGACTTCAATAGTGCAGTATCAGGACCACTAGTCCTGTTTCTTAGCATGGAGAATATTATCGAACCTAATAGGATGTGTAACTTGGCATCTCTGATTCTGGGCCTCCATTTCTTTCCACAGTCATGAAATCTCTGTATATATCATGCATAAGCAATAAACTTTAAATTAGATGCATGTGGTTTGAATGTGACTTGCAATATCTGAAGTATTCTATTATGAATCAAATCCAGTATTATATAACATTAATCATATAACAAAAGATTAACTCTATGCAAACAATGCTTTGCAGTCTACAGCGTACTGGCCCAAATTATTATTATTATTATTTTTATTATGTTATTATATTTATTTTATGATATATTATTATTTATTTTATTGTGGTAGGGACTAGGAGCTCCAATCTTGGACCAGGATCCCATTGTGCTAGGTGCTGTGCAAACACAGTAAAATCAGACAATCCTCACCCCGAAGAGTTTACAGTCTCACTGAAAGTTCATCATGTGCCTTTTTATTTGAGCACTTGTACATGATCTGTACATTCAGTATGGCATAGTTCTGTGTGAGTAACTAAAGAAATCATTAGCCAGCTGTAAGTGTAAAATGTTGTTAATTCCATTAGTTTTTCTGCTTAGAAGGAATCTCGTCAAGCTAGCCTGGTGGTGCAGTGGCAACACGTCACTGCCACATGGCAGGATGGAGAGCCAGGTGATGCTCAGGAGCAACCCCTCTAGCCAATATGCAGGAGCTGCACTCAAAGTCCTATAGGGAGTTGTGTGCATCTCCTCAGCTGGAAGGGAATCCTCACACTGTAATGCTCTGAGAGCTGGAGGGAGGGACTAAAGAAGAGGAAATTGGGATCCCACATGACAGATCTAATTAATTCAACCTAAAAATTTCAGTGGAATTTACCTAGTCGGATCAAGCAGTTTCATGGAGTTATTTCATCTAGCTTCTCAAATGTAATACCTGTCCTTCTCAGTGGTTAGCTATGGCGGATGGAAATCTGGCACCGTATCATCCCAGGAGTCATGTACATGCTGAGAAGCAAACAAGTATCGAACAATGGCTTTGTGCCCAAAACATGTCAAAAAGTAGATGTGTATCTTCCTTTGCATTGATTGAGTAGCTAGAAAGCTTGGAGTTGTTCTCATGGAAGTGGATTGGAGTCTTGCCACTGACATCAATGGGAGCAGAACTGGTCTCCCAGTATCAAGAAGCTGGCCCTTGATGCCTGCACTGTCTGTATTTTCTGGGCGGCAGAGGTTATTTTTCATTTTACCAATCTACAGAGACTGACACGACATGGCTTTCCCTAGTTTTAGCTTTATCCACTACTTCTAGTCACTTGATTAGTTTTATTGGATTAATTTCTTATTCAAATAGTTAGGATCTTGGGTGCAGACAGCATGGCAAAGGAACCTTTTCTGACAGCAATTTACGAGTGACTGTAAAACACAGATTAGTCCTTCTCATTCTCTGCTCAGGGACTCTGCATTTTCTAATCATTCATGTGACATAGTTAAGATGGAAGCTAAACCTGCACTCCTACTTAGTCAAAACTCCCACACAAGACTGTGGGCGTTTTGCTGAATAATGACCACAGAAAAGTTTCAGAATATTTTTATAGCTTCTCCCACCCAGTTCTCCTATCCATACTTCTTAGTGCATGTGGCGGTGTAAGAAAACAGTTAAAGCTTGGGCTACCATTATGTATTGGGCCTTTTTCATGATTTACAGCAAGGTATATGACGTCCCCCAGGAAGAGGAAATGGCACTGATAAATGTTGGACTAACCAATAGCTGTTATACTGGGGTTTAGAACAGGAACAGAATCCAGCTGTTTGTAGATAGGAAATGTGATCTAGTGGCTTTTTTTAGTTGTTTTCACACTTACGTTGATTCACCAGGCCAGTTAAACCGTTAGCAACAGATTCCTATCTGAAACTAATATTTTTATAGGTCACAAATTCAGAGCTGGAAATCAGCCTCTGTACATTCCATGAAGTGGTATTAGCAGAATTCTTTCGGCAAATCCTTCATGCTTTATTGTCCTACGTAATTCCATGGACTTCATTGGAACTCATGTCTGCATAAGGAGACCAGGACTGGTTTTTATACCAACAGTTCCTTGACTTATTTTACTACTGAATGGGCCCAGTCCCATGCCTACTGAGATTGTGCCACTGACTACAATAGGAGCATGACATGACCCCCATATACAGTGATTCTCAAATCTCCATTGTATTATTAGGCATGTGAAAAATGTTTACAACATTTCTGTTAGAATACATGAAAGACTGAAATAAATCCAGTGGCAACATTTATTATAAAAAGTCAGTATGTGATGACCACATAATAACGCAGAGCTCTGACTTTAAATTAACGTGCAGGTAATGTAAATTAAAAAAAAAAAAGCTTTAAGCATATTTTATGTTTGCATTGTGGGCAATGCTACTTGCAAATATGAAAGTAAAAATTCTCTGTGTTAGTAAACCCAGGATTTAAAAAAAAAAATAGATAAAGCCATTGTTAAGGCAAATCTTCTGTGTGTCTTTTATGTGTCCTGGACTATGGTATGTATGGTACTGTATGTGTTACTTTTTTAATCTACTTTATGTAATTTATTCTGATAGCATTTGAAAAAAGTTGATTTATAATTTTTTTCTCTTATCTATCAGATTAATTTACTCTTTTTCAGATTAATTATTTGTCCCTAGCTGTTTTCCTTAGTGTTTTAAATGGTGACAAATATTTTCTGTAATAGCTGATACCTACATATTTGATCAATGTCTCACCATATTCTCCAATGTACATCATTGACTTATACACACATACATTGTTTACTGTATCCATCCACTGGATTAAATTTATTGTAAACATTTCAGTATTCAATGGAATAAGGATTCAAATAATGAAAATATTATAGGTCTTACCTGGATGCATATTGGAAGTTTTATTTATTTGTTAATAACTGGATAACAGCTTTTTAAAATTACATATTTAATGCCCTAAGGGCCTGCCCTAAGATTATTGGGGTTAATGGGAATCCTTCACAGGGCTTTGAATTAGAATGTTGGTAATTCCAAGATAGTGGCCCTAGAACAGGGGTGGCCTGAGGGCCACACTGGGTTTCTGAAACTGTATGGAGGGAAGGCCTCCCCAAACAGCCTGGCCCCCAACCCCTATCCACCCCCACCCACTTCCTGCCCCCTCACTGCCCCCTCAGAACCTCTGACCCATCCAACCCCCCCTGCTCCTTGTCCCCTGATTGCCCCCTCCCGGGGCCCCCCACCCCCTATCAAATCCCCCCTGCTCCCTGTCCCCTGACTGCCCTGCCTCCTATCCACACCCTCGCCCCCTGACAGGCCCCCCAGGACTCCCATGCCTATCCAACCCCCCACTCCCCGCCCTCTTACCATGCCACTCAGAGCACCAGGACTGGCAGCCGCGCTGCCTGGCCAGAGCCAGCCATGCCACCACGCAGTCTAGAGGACCGGGGCAGGCTGGCGGCTCTCGCAGCCCCGCCGCCCAGAGCGCTGGTGGCAAGGCGAGCTGAGGTTCTGGGGGAGGCGGGACAGCAAGGGAGGGGCTGGGGGCTAGCCTACCCGGTGAGGAGCTCAAGGGCTAGGCAGGACGGTCCCATGGGCTGGATGTGGCTCGTGGCTCGTAGTTTGCCCACCTCTGCCCTAGAAGGACATTAACTTGTATTTCATCTTTCCCCCTCAGCTGTGCTGCTTTCATATAGAAAGTGAAAGTACCGATGCTGTCTTTCAGTAAGTCTACTTTCCCTTTGATACATCATACAGTTTCCATGATGTAATCTAAATCAGTGTCTCCAATCTGTCATGATTTAGCAGAAGTTCTTGCCTGATCCCAGGCAGGCTAAAAGCACAGTACATAGAAATAGTTACAACAACAGCACTGAAATGCTGAGCAAATGAGCACACCAAGAATCCCATCTTATTCCAGAATTGGCATGTCCAGTGCTGCCACATCATGTGTGCCAATTTAGACATACGGTGAAACCCAAATTTGTAGCATCCTAAATAAGAATGTGAGAGAATATTTGTGTTTGGAGGACAGTGAGACAGAGAGTGAGAGAGAGCAAGGGAAAAGAGAAGGTGAATGGGGACAGAGGGAGGACTCTGGGGCAAAGAGAGACAAGTGAGGCATTTAGGGCTTGATCCTGCTCCCATTGAAGCCAGTGGTAAAACTCCCATTGACTTTAATGGGATCAGGACCAACTCTTTAGAGAAAGAGCACACTAGGTAGAGAGAGAATGGGGCATGATCAGCGGGAGAGAGAGATGCCAAAGACTACTGCTGGAGGGTCCAACGCTAGGAGAGCTGTCCAGCCAAATCCAGGAAATGAGCTTTATTTTTTCTATTTTATGCTATATGATATCATGAATTTATTTGGAAAAGCACATTTTTGCTGAAGTCTGAATCATTTCCCATGAAAAGCAAAGTGCTCTTGTTGGAGAATTGCTGGGGTTTGTGAAATAGGAGAACAATCTGAAAAGTTTCAGAATATTTTTGAGCACAGGAGACCTTTTCCCCCACATTTCTCCCATCCCAAGGGGCAATAATTCCCAATGCATATGGTGAGGAACTGTGAAAGGAAACAATTAAAGCTTGGGCTGCTGATACATATTGGGCACTGTCACATGATTTATAATAATACATATAAAGTCCCATAGGATGAGGAAATAGCATTATTAAATGTTGGACCAGTCAGTAGCTGTTGCACTAGGACTTAATGCAAAACTGGGAAATAAATTCTGACAAAAATCCTGTTAGTTACAACCTGATTGCCATGAAGAACCCATGGGGTTGAAGTTTCAAAAACAACCTCTAATTTTGCAGTCTCACAACTGCAGATTTGTGCCTGTAAACATTTGTGAGGTCATATGATAGAATTCTTGTAGCTGCATTTGTGTGGCTAATTAGGACATATCATTTCATATGAAAATGGTTTTTGCAGGCAAAAAACCCAGGTCTTTGCATAGTCAGTTGCATTTATTGTGCATACAAATTAAGCACTTAGTTGCACCTGCAGTTTTGAATGCAAATTTGCACATGCACAGGTCTTAAACATTCCCTATGATTTGTACATACAAACAATGTTTTCTCGCTAAATCATGCATTGTAATTTGTAGCTCATAGAGCAA